CGGTCGCCCGTCCGTTTGGACATGCCTCGAGGCACGCGGGAAAACTGCTTGCTTGCGAGGTCCTAAGCTCTGAGTAACCTCGTCTGTTGCGTCAAGCGTTAGGAGGACGTCAGGCAGACAAGACCACTACAGATATCAACATCCTGAACATTTCTTCATATTGAAGAAACGGCGAAACCTGCGTCAAATACCTCTGAGAAAAGAATGCTCAGCCTTTGAGTCAGAACTAGTAAAATGAGTACAAGTATTTCAAAGAGGTTCTTCTCCAACGCGAATAAGGCAAAGCGCAATAGAAGTCCATTTCTTATCCAAAACACTATCAAGGAAATACATTAACCGATAGCTCAGGAAAGACAAACCTCGTACCTAATAAGTTTCAATTCACTTTATTTAGGGAATAAGGCCTTTAGCCTCGTGGTCCCTACTTATATCCAAAATGGCAAAAAAATTTAAACTAGTTAACAGTAGATATGACAACTGTAAAGCTAAGTTCATCGATATGCATGTGAGACAGTCCCAAACGGCTGCAAATTAAACAATCTTCATATGTGTACAACGATTTTTCATTTAAATGTTGCAACCGCTTCGTCAGAGAGTCCGTTCCGTGTCTCAATGGCTCTCTGTGAAAAAGCGTTCCTTCGATAGTCCATATGAACACACTTCCGCTGCATTTTGAAGGAATTACGTCATATATGGTTCCTCCGAGCCCATTGGAAGAATTTATCAAATTCTAGGGGGTACTCACGGCCCCTGAAAATTCAGTAAGTTTGAATGAGGTTACCGCGTAGTTGCCTGTAATTAAGTGGAAAAAAAACTAGTTTAGCCAGTTTGACTCCGTTAGGCAGATGAACAATATTCTTTACTAACTTTGTAGCCCTCGCCTGCACACTCTACAGCTGCAGATAACCCTTCTTAAAACAGAGATGCCAGGCCTAGACGACAAACTCCAATTGGGACCGAACGAATGGTCCGAAAATTTTCCTGATCAGTTCCTTATCGATGTGAACCAATCTTCCTCTAAGTGCAAAAAACATCCGTGTCGTCCAATTGGCTGCCTTTAAACACTGCGGTTTAAGTGAGTAGGTTATTAGAACACCAAGGCCCTTCTCTTCCACAAAATTTGAGAGGGGCCACCCATCGAGATGGTATCGGAAGGAATTGCCCTCCTTACTGGTCCTTCTCTTACGGAGCCTCAAAACTAGACACTTACTAACGATAAAATGTAAGAGCCAACAAGCAGACCAGCTGCTAAGTCGTTTGAGACTTTCTTGAAGCGCCTGCCTATCGGCGATAGACCTGAGTTATGCCTGCGTATACCGAGAAGATGCCTTTTGACGAGGAAGCACACAAATATATAGCCCACCCACAGATAAAATTACCACGATGTCGTTCACAACAGGCACAGGCACAGAACGTTGGCACGCAAATATTGAGAATATTCTGTTTCGAGAAGAATAGATTTTCGAAGAAATACAAACTTTAAAGGAATACAAATTTCCCGGTCCGAATGATATTCCAAAAAGTTGCCCTTTGAACTTGCTAGAGAGCTGTTCAAACCGCTATCGTTCGATACTGGAATTTTCCCACCGACTAGAAAACAATTTAAATTACCCCGCTTTACAAATTTGGTAGCCATATACGTGCGACAAACTACAGACCCGTCAGTCTTAACTCAGTCTGCTGCAAAGTCGTGATGAAGATAATCAAAAGAAACTGATGACATAACTGCAAACTGTCAACCTTTCCTCCAATGCACACTACAGCCTTCTTAGGGGAAGTTAATGCAAAAGAAAAAATGTGTGCGACCCAAAATTATTTCCGGAAGTCCTCTGATAGTGTTGTGTATCTCCCTTTTCCTATAAAATTCGAGCGGGTGAGGGTCGGAGGCAAGCGTCTTACATGGATCGATAATTGTTTCTTTGTTCGTTCCTGAGCTGTCTGCATAAAGCGGGAGCGATCGAGATGTGGAGTCATGGAGGGTTGAGGTACGCAGGGGGCAGTGCTTGGATTTACGCTCTTTCTCTTTCTAAAATGGTTATGCGCAGGAAATGGACCGTGATTGTGCCACGTTTACGAATAATATGACACTTAGAAAGTCATCCACGATGGAGCTGACGAAGTCGACTTCCAAGAACATTTTTGTCGACTGGAACATTGGTCCGCACCTGGCTTCTGTCCATCAACTCACACAAAGGTATCATGCTGCGTATTGGAAATCTAAATCAGGTCCCTGATACGCAGGTTTCTATCTGAACGCAATGCCAATACGGGGAGCAGAAACAAGGACATATCTTGGCGTTTGGATTAAAGGCACCCTAAGTCCTTCCACACAATGTCGTAAGGCGACAAAGGCCCCGAGTTCAGGTGGGCATTCACAGTTTCTATGAAGACTGCTTCGCAAAATTCTTCGACGCGTTTTTAAGGCCGCATCCAGGCCTCGAGACTCAGGATGCAGCAGGATTACAAAATATTCGAACAGATACAGAAACGAGGAAAAAAATATCTAAGAGGTCAAAGTGCACTGACACATGATACCCCCCTGAATAACATTAAACACTATCCTGTGAGTTATAGGCAGTTGCGCGGAGAATTGATAGAAACTTTGCGTATCGTGCGTGGCTTGAAATGCACCCTCCTGTTTAAAGACTCTGTACAATTCGCCATTACAACAAAACGTCGGCGAGTCCCTTTAAACAATGTGTAATGCTCTAATTTCTCAGTATTTTGGGTTATTTAAACTTCAGCTTGACGGACCTATGCTCCAACAACGAGCTGACTAAATGACTATATATACCCTCAAAAATCTAGTGTACTATGTGACGCGAAGTTTCTATTTACTTGACATTGCAATTTCCTTATACTGTTGCTTAATTTTCCGATGTATGTGTGTCGAATATAGCGTTTAAAGGCGTAAGTGCATTCCTCTCGAAGACACTGAATACTGAACTAAGGTAATTAAATCTTTGTCGGACTGTAGTTGGTTCAAGGAAGCAGTTTCTTCCATGGAGTCGGCAAATATCCTTATGTAAGTGTGTTGTCTGAGTTTGCTCACTGAAAAAAAACGCATCACCTGACTTTTTACAAGATATTGAATGCCAATTGTTACTAGTTGTCGTTTAACTTCACCATTTTCTTATCTCTTCTTTTGCCTTTAGTCGTTTTTGGAGTTCGCACTTTGTTCAGGCGATTTAGTCATGTCAACTTTGTTTCTGTTGTTCGATGATCAATATTTCGTTCAGCAGTCACTACTCCAAATAGTCCCCACGAAGCACTGCAATACAACCTCTACGATTCTTACATACGCAGATGTTAACTTGAATGGCACGTGCAAATATAGAAGCCAGATTTCCGGCCAAATATAACTACGACTGGACCGTTGAGCTTAAGCTCATCAACTATCGACTTAAATCACAAACTGCATTAAAAAATGAATGCGATACCTATAATCAAATTTAACGTGTGAATGAAGTCTTTTATTTTCTTATAACCTTGCGGACCCTCTGATCCTGCTATAAGAGTTATTTCAACGAACCACTTTGTTTTAATGCACTCAACGACGAAACCTTAGTATCCCCCTTAATTTCTGGGCGCGTTGTTGTCTTCTTGTCTTTCGTAATGGTATGTCTCCTTTTTCGATCGCCGCACCATCAAATCTCATGCTATAACTTGTTAACACTGATTTTATTTATCAGGCGGATCAGCTC